CTGATGGGTTAACACTAGTCAGATGCTTTTTTATCTTAATAATTTATATTGCATATTGGTTGTCACAACATTGATTATTCTTATAGACTTGGTGGGAAAACTAGGTGAAATTCATTAGCATACTGTTACAAATCTAAAGCCTTCTAGGCAAATGTATGTTATTTTGTAATAAAGCAAGTAACATACAAGTCAAAGGAGATCATTTATTGGTTCACTATATAAGGTGCTGTTTAGATCTCATTTTGAATACTCTATTCAGTGTTTGTCACCTCGTTTAAGAAAGGAGGTTGAGTAGTTGGAGAGGAGGTATTTCAACTTTTAGGGGAATTATTGTATTTGGATATATTGAAATATCTTTGTTGTTTTCACTAGAGAGGAGAAAAGTTTGACTGAAGTTTTAACATTTTTTATTGGTGTGTAATCCATAGATCCAGATTATCACTTTGCATAAAAATATTTTCAGAAAGTGAGATATTAAAACTCTGACTCACTTCCAGTTAAATCAGTGTTACTTTTCCAATCCTAGTATTTGGCCTGTAGAATAATTTACTTTAGGTGTGGTAGAACCTACAAAATTGGAGTAGTTTAAGAAGATGTTTGAGTATTTTAGAGATCAGGGTTGGGTATGGGAAAAAAGGTTTCTGTATGTAGTTTGGAGAAGAGCAATAACCCTTTGTTTCTTAAAAATGAAATAATAATTTAACTTTTATTGGATAGGTCCATGTATAGGATTATAAAAGGCTACTTGAATTTAGATTTGATGTTTTGGCTGATTGTTGTGATTGATGCTTTGTTTATGCATGTCTAGTAAATCTTTCATTTGTTTTTTTGTTTTTCAGGACTGATGACCTCAAGCAAGGAACATTGGTTGGAGTTGACAAGTATGGAAACAAGTACTTTGAAAATAATATGTATTTTTATGGTGAGTGTTATTAGCTATTCCATTTTGTTTATGTAAGATATTTTTACTTTCCTTAATGAGTTTGATTATTTAGAAATCATTGAAGCATTCAACAGGAACAAGAAAATAAAATTGTGTAAATAAAGAAAAAATATATCAATATCTGGAGTGAAAATGTTGGAAAATTATTCTTTTTAAACATGAAATCTTAATATTTTTAAGAATAGTTGTACAAGTGCAGTGAATTTCAATTCTTATGATTCATTTGTTGTACAAAAGCTTAAAATGTAACTTTTCAAAATTGGCAATAAAATTCTCTATTAAAAGAATGCAATTATGGTTAAGTTTCAGCAAAACCTGTTTATAAAAAATAATACTTTAAAAGCCAGATTTAGTACCATTAAATTTAGGCTATTTCCTAATTTGTAGTTCATAAAGATCATGGTGTAGGTAGGACTTTTTCTTCTTTCATCATGTTTTTTAATATGTAAAACTATGTGGGCACAATTGGTTTAATATTTGAAAAGTACTTGTAGCAGTTTAATATAAGAGGCACATATAAAGTTCATATAAAACGTAAGAAAATAATACATGTATTAACCTGTCTTGCATTCATCTTCTACTGGCCCGTGTCAAGAGCCACATAGTGCATCTGCTATTCCACAGCATAACAGTTGCCTTGTGCCTGTCTTGTGTTACTGGCCTACATCAGAAGCTAGTAAATCTAACGTACTGGTGTGCCATTTTCATTTAAACTGATTTTCTGAGAAAGTAAATTAGGTAGGTTCACTATATAATGGGAGATTTGGCAGAATACATTGCAATGTAATGCAGAGTGTGTGAGCTGAAAAGTAAATGGAGTTGACACAAAGTATAATACACAATGAAAAATATCTATTTATACAATACATATCATTATTATGTGTATTTCACATTATGGACAAAAGACAGCCACCTTTAGTGGAGTTGTGAATTGATCAGACTGGCTGTACTCACTCAAAACTTGTTACCAATCTGACATACTCACTCAAGATGATGTTCCAGACTAACTAAATCTCACATTACCTAGTTGAATGTGTAACAGGTTTACACAAAACAAATAGTGCTACCTATATGACTGATCCTTCCCATTAAACAACCAAGAGAGGATGTAATCTCATAGTATCACCTGGCCTACCATTGCAGGACACTTTTAAATAAAGCTAGAGAAAGATCAGTAGAATGACTTTCTTGACCACGTGTTATGCAAAAACTGCACAAACCTAGAAGTAACAGAAATTTATAAAAACATTCTACATGTTAAATATGTATACCAAGTGGCAATAATTGTCTTGCACCATTCCTCTTTAGTTTCTGGTCTGTATCAGAAGCTAGTATGCTTGGGCTAGTAGCATGACAATAGTCTTGTCTCCTTGTGTTATTGAGCTCTGTCATTAGCTAGCACATTTGTGGTAGTGTCATATGTGTGTTCTAGCTTTCACAGTTTGGCCTCATTACTTTACACATTATTGCATATTTAAAGCATACCTGGCCCAACTTAGAAGTTTGATTTACTTAAAGCATGTGCCTAATTTTTAACTGGAATGTAAAGGGAGCTGTTGATAGTATGGGATGGAATATTTCAAACTCTGAGACAGAGAAATTAGAAGTATTTGTAGCTTTAGATTACAACTTTTTTCTGGAGAAGATAAATATTATTTTGATATTATTAAAGGATACAGCAGTTATTTTAGTGTATTTGAGTTAGATTAGTTGGGAATGGACACTTCCAGGTTTATTACTGCAGTTACTGCTAAGCCTAAATTACTACAATAGTCTTAATACTACAAGAACTAAATTATAGGATACTAAAGATACTAAATATTAGAGTGAAATGAATATTTATAACAAGTGTTAACTAAGTAAGATGGATAATTTATTTATATTGAGAGTTTAAATTGTTTTTAAAATTATTATGTAGTTGATACTGAGATTGTAATATGTTAGTCAATAAAATTAGCAGTTTTATTCTGTGTACCTAGAGGAGTGGGGTACATAATAATTGCAGTACTTGTAATTAATATTATTAGCATAATAGTTAATGGAGGATTTTAGTGTTAAGTTTATCTACAGTTTACTCCAAAAACTTCAAATAGTGTGATTTCACTTAAATATACCATTATCAGGTGGGCAGATTGGTATTAGAGATAAAAGACTAGTAAAACTTCAGTATGGTTAATTCAATGATAAGTGGAGTGAAATTTATAGGGTGTGATAGGTACCAGGATTAGGTTGTGCATGAAAAATGTGGGCTTGATTGCAACTTTCAGGTGGCTAAGAAAAATACACTACACTTGCAGAGATTGGTTGCTTTAGGGGAAGTTATAGGTATCTTTGGGGGAAGATTGCACTTTTAGATGAGGAAAATAGAAGATTAGAAAGCAAGACAGCAAGTGAATAATAGAGTTAGAGTAAAAATTGCTTTTAGATGAAGGTGAGAGTGCTGGGTTTATAAGGGTGGATTGTAGTAAAAAAAGGAAAGGCTATAAAGAGAAGTTCAGTTGGCATTCAGGTACCAGCCTAATAGTTTTAATGCAGCGGCTAGATACCAGGTAGCCGGGAACGATTTTTCAAGTACTAAATACTTGGCAGTCCCAAAATTTGAATATTGATAAGCTACAACAATAATAATAATGATAATTTCCAAAAAACATTATTATTACAAATTATATATAATATAATATGTGTGTGTGTTTATGTATGTATATGTGTGTGTGTGTGTGTGTGTGTGTGCGTATATATATATATATGTATATT